GATTTATTTTCTCGCAAAGTGCCTATCACGTGTTAGGAAAGATTGAAAAAACTCACCAGTATGAAATCTGCATATAGTCCACATATGAATTCTAAAAACACTTCACAAAACACTGACACAACACAGAATAACGCGAAGTAATCACTATACCGGACGATGTATTTGAAAGACACAGTATTATCACTTGTAGAATTAAAACAGATCAAAGTTGCTGTTACTTTCTAGTAGAAGCGGCAACGCCGCATTGTTTAATATATTTTAGACGTGTAGATTATGTCGATTTATACATACTATGAGATTTTCAGATGCATTGTTGCTTGGTTTCCTAGAAACTTCTAATTAACGCTCATCGTGAAAAACCCTGTATACTATTTCGCGATATGCACTAGATTCTTGATTGAAACCGATACGAGCACTTTAAGTAGACCGACCGTACACGATGACATCTAACACAAGACTGACACGAGTCACCACCTCGTCCCGAATGACTAATTAGTTGCGTCACCTTTCTATCTTATCAATTCCCGAATAAGTATTCATCTATGATTAATAATAATAATGATATCTGAATACAACTGATATACAGGTTCACTTGAGACGATCATCTCAACTTAAATATTGCGAACTTTTGGTCAACTTTCTAATTTCTGATGAAATCTAGTTATTTTTGTCTCAACTTATATCTCTGAATTATCATTGAAAATTTCACAAATCACATTTTCGACCAATTGAAAAAGTCTGTATTTCGTATCGTTACCATAGTAACTAAACATATTTTCAGAAATGTTTTCCTCCTTGGGGAGAAGGAGCAGGAAATAACACTGGAAGATTCCTCAGGAATGTACAGGGTGGGCCACCAGTCAGGCCTCGGTCTCTAGAAGGCTAACCACTTATCTTCTTGGAATTCTTCCTCTCTAGGAAGTTGCATGTCAACATAGGCACAGATACATAGGCTACCATTTAAAATTATTTCGAAACATACAGGGTGTCCCCAAAAACCATAAAACACTGAAGTTAAACTTTTTTCGAACACCCTATATATTATTTCATTTTGAGATTCTCCCTGATGGGCTGATTTCAACGAGCCATCATACTTGGGGTCTAGCAGTTATAATTACTGAAATATAGGGTGTGAAAAATCGAGATTTTCCAAGTTCAAGAATTTTTTGTGTCGAAACTATTCATAATTGGTCAAAACGGCTTACATGTCCCTATCTCAACTTTTGATTAACTATCTACTGACATTTAATTGGGACATATACCGGGTGATCAAGATTCTGAATTCTGCACCACCCTGTATTTGTTTCAATTAAATGTCAGTAGATATTTGGTCAAAAGTTGAGATAGGGACATGTGAGCCGTTTTGACCAATTATGAATGGTTTAGACACAAAAAATTCTTGAACTTGGAAAATCTCGATTTCTCACACCCTATATCTCAGTAATTATAACTGCTAGAACCCAAGTATGATGGATTGTTGAAATCAGCTCACCAGGGAGAATCTCAAAATGAAATAATATATGGGTGTTCGATAGAAAAAAGTTCAACTTCAGTGTTTTATGGTTTTTGGGGACACCCTGCATATTTCGAAATAATATTAAATGGTAGCCTATGTTGACATGCAACTACCTAGAGAGGAAGAATTCCAAGAAGATAAGTGGTTAGCCTTCTAGAGACCGAGGCATTACTGGTGGCCCACCCTGTATAATTGGACTAAAAATGAATTCATTCAGCACTTCACGAAAGCACTGTATAATGCGTACTCATTCGGTCTCGTGAGAAGCCTAAAATTCTCATTATGGATTGCTAAATTCATTTTTGTTCCTTGGAGCAAAAGAAATCGATTAATTTTCAAGCAAAGTGCCTATCACGTGTTAGGAAAGATTAAAAAACTCACCAGTATGAAATCTGCATATAGTCCACATATGAATTCTCAAAACACTTCACAAAACACCGACACAACACAGAATAACGCGATTTATCACTCTTTTTAATGAACACAGTTGTAGAATTAAAACAGTTAGTTTGGTTTGATACGAGCACTTTAAGTGGACCGACCGTATGCGATGAAATCTAACACAAGACTGACACGAATCACGATTCACCACCTGCTCGTCCCGAATGACAAATTAGTTGCGTCACCTTTCTATCCTTTCTATCTTATCGATTCCCGAACAAGTATTCATCTATGACTGATAATAATAATGATATCTGAAGTTAACAGGGAGATGGGATGAAACATGGAATACCTATACAGTGTCATTTGAAACGATCATCTCAACTTAAATATTGCGAACTTTTGGTCAACTTTCTAATTTCTGACGAAATCTTGTTATTTTTGTCTCAACTTGTATCTCTGAATTATCATTGAAAATTTCACAAATCACATTTTCGACCGATTGAAAAAGTCTGTATTTCGTATCGTTACCATAGTAACTAAACAAATTTCCAGAATTTTTTTTCCTTCTTGGGAGAAGTAGCAAGAAATTACACTGGAAGATTCCACAGGAATGTATAATTGGGCTAAAAATGAATTCATTCAGCACTTTACGAAAGCACTGTGTAATGAGTACTTATTCGGTCTTGTGAGAATACTAAAATTCTCATTATGGATTGCTGAATTCATTTTTGTTCCTTGGAGTAAGAAATCGATTTATTTTCTCGCGAAGTGCCTATCACGTGTTAGGAAAGATTAAAAAAACTCACCAGTATGAAATCTGCATATAGTCCACATATGAATTCTCAAAACACTTCACAAAACACCGACACAACACAGAATAACGCGATGTAATCACTATACCGAACGATGTATTTGAAAGACACAGTATTATCACTTGAAGAATTAAAACAGTTAGAATCAAAGTTGCTGTTACTTTCTAGTAGAAGCGGCAACGCCGCATTGTTTAATATATTTTAGACGTGTGGATTATGTCGATTTATACATACTATGAGATTTTCAGATTCATTGTTGCTTGGTTTCCCAGAAACTTTTAATTAACGCTCATCGTGAAAAACCCTGTATACTATTTCGCGATATGCACTAGATTCTTGCATGAAACCGATACGAGCACTTTAAGTAGACCGACCGTACACGATGACATCTAACACAAGACTGACACGAGTCACCGCCTCGTCCCGAATGACTAATTAGTTGCGTCATCTTTGTATCCTATCAATTTCCGAAACAAGTATTTATCTATGACTAATAATAATAAAAATGAATTACACAGGGTGGTGGGATAGAACATGGAATATACTACAGGGTCATTTGAAACGATAATCTCAACTTAAATGCGGACTTTTGCTCAACTTTCTAATTCCTGATGAAATACAGTTTTTTTCGTAATAACTTATTACTGAATTATTATTGAAAATCACATTTGAGGGATACCTAGGTGTATATTATAAAATCACATTTGATACATCACACATGTTCTTTGCCGGTTCAATTTCAACTGATTAAGTTACCAATTTTCATTCGAATAAATTGGTAAAATAAATGTCAAAATTGAATTGAATGTAACAGGAGCATTATGAACTAACACGGTGATATATTATTTTTCGGATCAAGAACCATTGTGTTGAAAAAGAGAATCTAAAACATAATGAAGCGCGTTAAATAGTTAGGTTGAAAGAGTATATTTTGTTTTTACTGCATAATGATCAAGCCATCAGCTTCTCTTGGAAACTGAAATTCAGGATGATATTCCGAATCTTGAATCTACAATTTCACCAAAATCGGAAAGAATCATATGTTACAGGGCGATCGATTTTGTTCAATTTTTTTCCGGGTTTTTTATGCCGGTGAGTATAAGTTGGCTCTCAAGGGAAACTTTTTTCTCTATATTTCGATCGTGGAATCTAGAGACTATGTATTTCAACACCAACTATGGTGCAATCTTTATTATCACTTATAATTACACAAAAGCATGAGAATGAGAATTTTGTTGTCTTTACACGACCGCCACCTAGGGTAGAAGGAAAGAAACACTCCAAAACAAATTCCATCTCGCAGTGGCTGAACGTCTCGTGTCTTTTAAATGCTGGGCTGTGTATACGTTGGGTCAGATATACAGGGTGTTATTTAAGTACGTGGCCAAACTTGAAGGGGTGATTCTTTGAGTGATTCTTAGACGAAAAGTTCATATAAACATAGGTCCGGTAATGCTTCGTTTTCAAGATACAGGGTGTCAAAATTTTTAAAAGAAATCGTTTTTTTCGTAAATATCTCAATAACCCTTCGACCGATTTCATTGAAATTTGGCAGTGTTATTCAAGGTCGTAATGGGCTAATTTAACCCTAACTATATCAAAATTATCATGTCCAGTGGCGTCCCGGAAGGCACTGTAACCAATATTTTTGACACAAAAAATGTGCGCCACTGATTTTTTTGCAATTTTTGTATTTGTTCCACATTGAGCAACTAAAATTACAACTTTTTTATATCCAGAATTGTTTTCGTATCTTGCTTTGTTTTTGAGAAAAAACATAAAAATCACTTCATTGCAGATCCCTGTGACAACACAATAAAACATTTCAACTACTAAACCATCAAAAACTGGGGTCTTACTAATATTTTTGATATAGTTAGGGTTAAATTAGCCCTTTACGACCTTGAATAACACTGCCAAATTTCAATAAAATCGGTTGAAGGGTTATTAAGATATTTACGAAAAAAACGATTTCTTTTAAAAATTTTGACACCCTGTATCTTGAAAACGAAGTAATACCGGACCTTTGTTTATATGAACTTTTCGTCTTAGAATCACCCAAAGAATCACCCCTTCAAGTTTGGCCACGTACTTAAATAACACCCTGTATATCCATTTTCATGTGTTCATAAATATATCTGAGAATATTCCTTTTCAATGTAAAAAGAACCTTATATTGCGATTATCAACTGTTTATTGTCGTCAAGTTTGAGCAAAACAAAGGCTCGTCAGAGCAATCACCATATTACTCATAAACATCTAAGGTGAATGAAAATATAAACGAATAGGTGATTCGAAGAAAGACGACTCCAAGAAGAAGATGCTCCAGGCCCGCAAAATGCTGGCGAAAAAACGCACATCCGCCCCTGTCATCCTCATCCCCACCATTCCGCCCGAACGCATCCAGGAGATCGGCTCGCTGGTGACCTTGACCAAGAAGTCGCAGTTCATTCAGGTAAGAATTCAGGAAAACCATGGCTTTCCCTATGAATTCGATCAATCAGAACGTAGACATGAGATAAACATGGAATTTTATTTCATTTTCCGGAATGAATCCTTGACATTAACAAGCTCTACAAAATCCTTAGGAATCATAATTTACTCATATTTCATTTTTTTTTATATTCTGGTTCCCACGAAAAGGCATATCCTGTAATGTTCAGAGAACATCGTGAGAACCAAGGGAAATGAGGTAGGAATTGGTGTTCTTTTTGAATTTCTGGAGGTTATATGCCTCGGGGAACACCTGCCTTGGCAATGTGTTCCAGAGCCTCGCTGTTCGTTGGATGAACGAGTCTTTGGGAAGATATGTTCTGCAGGTCTCCAAAGTGAACACGAAGGGGTGCGAAGCCTCAACTCGACGGGTTAATCTCGCGGGGACTGCCAAGGAAGGTACAATTGTTGATATTCCAGAAGAGCATCGTCCATGAAAATATCTATGAAATAGAGTCAGATCGCCAACTTTTCTACGGTGTTCCAGAGAAGTGAGTGAATTTTTGAGCGAGGCATCACCCACGAGACGAATTGCCCTGTTTTAATTTTTTTTAAAAGTGCATATCTCCGTAACTATCAGTCCTAGGATCAAAATTCAAAACGTGAATTATAGGAAATTTAATCCTCTACAATACTTAATAGGACTCTTTTGTAGGTAAAATGCACCATAACGATAATATAAGCGAAAATCTGGAGGAAGTTCCGATTTCTTACGGTTTTTTCAATATGGCAGTGGGCGCGAAGGAGGGGGAATTGTGCATTTTGCATTTTAAACCTTCCATAACCATCCTAGAAAACATATCAAAAATTCAGAACTACCGGACCGTTTGTAAGGTGAACCCCCTCTATGTGTCTCTATTCACTGGATTATCAATACATATTGATATCTTTGGATATAGTCTCGTACTTTCAGTTACCCCTAAACTATTAGTGCCTATTAGAATACTACCTCTCGCAAACTATCAAGCTAAGCCAACCCCTTATAAATCGATATGAATGAATTAAATATCTATCATATCGTGACATGGTGCAAACAACTATTTTAACGTGACAATTCGCGAAAATCACGAAGTGTGCGGCCTCTGGTGGCTAACTTTACAAGTCTTGCGAGTATGAACAACAAATATGGCGACCATTGTTTTGAGTTTCTGTGTTTTATTTGAAAATAATTTATTCGTTGAAGTGCATATTCCAGAACCTCATTTTTCCCTGATGAAAAAACTCGAATTATTGCATGAACTTTTATTGTTTACAATGAAGAAGCCAGTACCTACCTTATAATAATATAATATACATTTTCTGAAGCACAGTTAGAATCCTTGTATAAATGTTGGTTGCAATGATTCAATCTTGAGAATAACTTCAAGTCTTCAATTGCTGGAGATCCCTGTTTATGTAAATCGATGATATTGTTCATTCTGAGCATCCTCTCCAACCATATCTTCTTTTCCCAGCCCCTTCACTAGAATTCCATCTCCTTCATAAAAGCCAGTGATATTTCTTGATGAATTCAATTATTTCTTCATACCTATACCATATTGTTGTAATAGCTGATTGCTTATATGGCTCCATTCCAGTCCATGCAAGTGTTGAGTGGACCATTCCGACCATTCCATATGTTTGAAAACTGTGGAATTGTAGTGTGATATCAATGATGAATACCACCATTGTCCACATCAAAATGTCAATTTCTCTGCACAAAAAGTAATTTTTGCCATACTGGAAACCTTGTACGTATTTCACGAAGTCAACTCATTATTCACTATTTTGCAAAATGATTTCGAAATAACCAATTTGCAATGAGTGCATACGGCAATGTTTTTGTTGTTCATACTCAGTTTGAAATTTGACGTTCATTTGACGTTTAATAGAGCCATCTATTGGTTCGTGATTTTCGCGAAAACATCCAAAAACGAAAGTCATGGTCATTTGAATTCGTTCGAACAGCGGCTCATCGCCTACTGGATGCTGAAGCGGCAGTTCCGCAACGGCGTGCCTCTGCTGAGGCGGCTGCAGAGCGCCCAGGGCGGCACGAGAGACTCGAACACCAGCAACGTGGACACAATTGAGCTGTGCAGGCAGCTCAAGTATTGGCAGTGTTTGCGGCAGGATTTGGAGAGAGCGAGGTACGGATCGGTAATAGTTATTTATTCAACAAGGTAGTGAAGAATATATTACCCAGGGACGAAGATTATATCCCGAGGCTTCAGCCTCTCTGCCTGAATTAGATCTTCAGACAAAAATGATTATTTTCATCAGATAGAGAATGCAAATTCTCTGTATTGCTTTATAATATACAGTGTGTCCCACTTACCATGCTCACCATAGGTATCTTTTTAACGGTGAGAGATATGAGGTCGGTTAAATGACACCAAATGTGGAGTTTGTCAAGGCTAACTATAATGTGAGAAAATATTTTCATGTCTCCTCCGTAACTTCCATATTTATGGAAATATTCAAATAGGAATTTCACATTCTCATGGCAGTTTTTCAAAGTGATTTCAGAAAAAATATGAAATTTATACCAACTCTTCTAGAATTTGAGCTATCAGCAGCAACTTTAGTTTTTCAAATGTAGGTCATACCTCACTTTGACTTAGTTACAAATAACTTTTTTTTCTCTTACAGATGATATGTCGCAGTAATAGTTTTGTGTTGATAACAACGGAGTTATCGTCATTTATACAAGAAGAACAAACTATTTGGGAGCCGCCATCTTGAATTCATGAAATTTAACAAAAAAATCATGATCTCCGACCTCAAAAACCCCCACTTACCAATTTTGAATGGAATCGGACCAAATCTTGTGCGCCATCTTGGAGCAGCCATTTTTTTTTTAATTTCAACAAAAATTCCATAATGTATTGTCACCGATATTATACCTGCCAAATTTCAAGTTAATCGAAGTTATGGAATTTTCGTTGAAATTAAAAAAAATGGCTGCTCCAATATGGCGGACAAGATTTGATCCGATTCCATTCCAAATATGTAAGTGGGGGTTTTTGAGGTCGGAGATCATGATTTTTCTGTTAAAATGTATAAATTCAAGATGGCGGCTTCCAAATAATTTGTTGTTTTTTTATAAATGACGATAACTCCGTTGTTATCAACACAAAACTATTACTGCGGCATATCATCTGTAAGAGAAAAAAAAGTTATTTGTAACTAAGTCATAGTGAGGTATGACCTACATTTGAAAAACTAAAGTTGCTGCTGATATCTCAAATTCTAGAAGAGTTGGTATAAATTTCATATTTTTTTCGAAATCACTTTGAAAAACTGCCATGAGAATATGAAATTCCTATTTGAATATTTTCATAAATATAGAAGTTGCGGAGGAGACATGAAAGTGATCAAAATCTGTTTTTTGCGTATAAAACAAAAACGAATAGATTTTATCAGAATATTTTCTCACATTATAGTTGGCCTTGACAAACTCCACATTTGGTGTCATTTAACCGACCTCGTATCTCTCACCGTTAAAAAGATACCCATGGTGAGCATGGTAAGTGGGACACACTGTATATAGGTATATACATTTTTTTCATATTTGAGGAAATTCTTTTTATCCAATTTCTCGCGGTAATTAGAAGATTCAATATTTTGTGAAGATTTGTTAAACTGTATCATATTAATATAATCAATACATATTATGTATAATATAAACTGATGGAAAATCACTTGTTATAACTCTTTTAAACACACATTCAAATTTAAACACCATTTTGAAAAGGTACTGCCTTTCGAAAAACGCAATTTCTTGCCTAAAATATGTTAGATTCGATGGGATGATACACGAAAAAACAAAGAAAATCATTGAAAATTCACATATTTTTCATACTTCGAATTTGCCCAATCTAATAAGGAGTTTTTTTTCTCAATGGCTCAATTTCTTGATTGGAATAACAGATTGCTATGCGAGTTGGTGAGAAAGAGAGAGAAAATGAAGCTGGAGTATACAAAGGTATCGGAGAAGTGTATGCGGATCAAGTTGAAACCACTGGAAGCCAGTCTCAGAAATGTGCTGGATTTGATCCAGGCCAAGGATACGAACGAAATTTTCACAGAGCCAGTGGATCTTGATGAGGTAAATCTTTATTTGACTTTGAACCATTCTCTTTGAAACTACTAAGAACTTGGTTGAAAGTCCCAAGCTTATCTAAATACTTGTACATATCTTGTAGTTTTACTTCATGTGAAAGTGTGCTTTAGATAAATTGGTGAGAAAATCAATTTTTATTAACAGGCAATATGCTTCTGCTGTCTAAAATGACGATTAAAATAAATACTTGTTATTAATATAGCAACTTACAAACTATGAGGCGGAAAACTACTCTCTATACGTGCTACAGTAATAAATAATTGTTTCCCCACTGAACTCTATGTATTGAGTCCCAGATATTTGTATTTGGCGAGTTTGCTAGTGTAAAACAGGCTCTGCTATTCATACACCCACATTATTCTTAACTGGAAAATACTACAGTTCAATCCATGGTCGACATTTTTATTCTGACGACTGTTTTTTTCTGAAGGTACCAGATTATACAACAGTGGTAACGGAGCCTATGGATCTCAGTACCATGAGAACTAAACTCGATGAAGGGCAATACCCTGACCTCAATACTTTGGAAAAGGATTTCGATCTCATGATTGCCAACTGTTTGGCATACAATAACAGAGACACCGTGTTTTATAGGTAAATACGACAATAAGTATACATGAAAATTCACAGGAACTACATAATTAATAACAGCGCTCTTTATGAACTTAACGTCAATTATTTTCATCCACCTGTTTGACCGAAAGTGACCCCAACTTTTTTTTTTTCAAATGTCACCATGTATTTTTTTTCAGTCTATCTTATTCGTCTTCAAATTCCCTATTCGACCATGTATCACAAAGTAGTATTCGTATCTTAATTCGCTGTTGAATTGCTTTTTATTGCAATTCAAAAAGACAAAGTTGGCTGTGACATGAATTCGATGATATATCGACACTTGGTAGGCTTTGAAATTTGAAGCATTAGTAAGCCAATATTATTTCGAATTCTTCCATACTCTGATCAATCCCTGCAGATTAACATTAACTTATTTGAGTCAAGATGAAAACCTTCGCAAATAACTCATGATATTGAGAAAACTAAGATAGGATCATATTTTTTTTTTTAATTCAGCTACTTGTACAGAAACTATCTGTCTTTCATTTTCGCCTACCAAGTGTCGTTATATCATCGAATTCATGTCACAGCCAACTTTGTCTTTTTGAATAAAAATAAATTCAACTGCGAATTAAGAAACAAATGCCATTTTGTGATACATGGTTAAATAGAGAATTTGAAGACGAATACGATAGACTGAAATAAAATACAGGGTGACATTTGAAAAAAAAAGTTGGGATCACGTGCGGTCGAACAGGTGGTTGAAAAAAAAAATCATTAATTACTAGCTGCACGGTTTTTCTTGATATAGGGCTGGTATAAAGATGCGAGATCAGTGTGGTGTGATTTTTCGCCACGCCAAAAAAGAGCTAGAAGCAGCTGGCTTGCTGACAAATAATGTGGATGGCAAACAGAAAGCTGGAATAGGGGAAGAATCTATGGCGTCTGATATCGACAAAGAATTGGCCACTTTACAGGTAAACATTTAATACATTGTGAGAAGGTAAATTATATTTCATATTTGCAACAATTGAAAAAAAAAACGAGTTGATTCTTGCATATGGGTTCAAAGTCACAGTTTTTATGGATTTTTACTAGACTGGCCAGTACTGACAGATTTTTTGCAACGTTTTTTTAATGTATGCAACTTTCAAGTAAAAATTTTCATGGGTTTTCAATATGTTTTAGATAATCATCAATTTGTGGTGCAGCGGCAGCGGCGTCACCAATCAAATTTGAATTTGCATTGGAAATTGATGATTTCAAATCTTCAAAAAATCTGTAACCGCCCAGTCTATTTCTATATGTTAATCGTTAGAGATTTGGACTTCTACGATCAATAAAATTCATTATTTTGAGAAAAAAAGTGTCGATCAACATTGATCTGCTGTAGAATTTTTCAGCTGATCTGAACTTCAATAGGAATCGATATCTTGTGTAAAAAAAATAGGGGGCGATAGAAATGGCATTCAATGTTGTTCAAAACAGATTCTCTTGTCTCAATTCGATTGGATACATTTTTCCCGAAAAAATTGGGAAAATGTGATTCCACTTCTTTCTTTGCTGCAGGGACTAGTTCTTCACTCACACAATAATGAGTATCACCTTGAAGTTTAGTAACACCCTGTATCTCAAGAGATCAATGACCCAAGTTCATATAAACTTTCATCTTTGAAGAGATCTGAGTCCCGCTTCAAATAACTGGACCAAATTTTGAGTTTGTCAAATCAAAATTAGCATTAGAATATTTTTCCCAGAAATAGATAATATGTGCACACCACCACAGTAGTATACCAACTACGAAATGAAGCTCAAACTCATATCCACACAATGTTCATAAAATGAACAACAATGGTAGATTTCTGGAGAAAAACAACTACTTTCCAGCCACTCCCGTATGGGAATTTCAGTTTTGGAGTGCTTCTCTTCTACTCAGATGGCGTTGCTTTCATATTGCCTATGAAAGATGCCTCTGGAGGAATATAATGCCGACTTGATTTTCGTTCGGCTAGGCTACGCTTAGTCGGCGGTCTTGGGACTGCTGTCTGGAGACTGCCCTGCACTGATGAGATCAAAGAGCTCGAAACCGGTCTGTAGGTGTCTAGCGTGGTTTGGCTAAATCGAAATATTTTTCTTTTCAGTGTCATACTGATGTTGGCATATGAATGAGTGATTTTAGTCTACAAATGAGTTACATGATGTTCTCATTAATTGATCTTGAATCTACCATTTTCATGTTCAGTTTTCAGTAGGGATTCGGTTCCGAAACGTCCACATATAAGTAAAAATTCGATATTTTTTCAATATATCTATATTTCTTTCCTTCAAACATTTTTTCAATGCAAATTGTCACTGACAAGCTACTGGGTTTTTCTTTTAGGCTCCCTGATTGAAAAATTTGTTGAACGCAGTGACATTTTGGAGCAAATCATCTCAGTTTTCCTTCAACAAATATATTGGAATAATACGCATATTTTTATTTTATAGAAACGAGGAGAGAAAATCCCAAAAAATCAAGTAAAATGAATGTACCACCTCCTCGATTAACCTACACACAGTACTTTTTGTATTTATTTAACAGTAATTTACGATGAAATATAATACACTTGCCGGCAAAAAACTCGGCCAGCAAAAATTCCTGTTTGATGATTAATTCATCAGCTCAGAGACAAGGCGACCAATTTGGTAAATTTCTTTGGTGGCCGGTTTTTTTCCCGGTGAGTGTATAACAGAACTGGAAAACTCAATCTTCTTGGCGATTATTAGAATCATCCCCACCCCCTTATCGTTTGTTATTATAGGGTCAAACAGGGGTGGACGTAGTGTCAAAACTCGAAGATCTCTTGGTGAAGAGTCAGGCCTTGAAACACGGTCTGGCAAGAGCAAAGAGAGTGAAATTAGTAAGAAACGAACTGAATAGAGTGAAGAAAATCCTGGCTGCTATCACCGATACTGATCAAACATCACAGTCAGAACTAGATGTTGAAACTGACAGTGTGGACATTAAAAACAATTCTACCAATTCAGGCAAGTGAATCAGAAGCGGATGATATTATGATGTGCTCTACTCTTGATTTATAATAATCGTAATAATTGTATCATTTTATGAATATTGTAAATATTTTCCTAACAGAAGCTGATATTTTTTATAAAATGTAGCCTAACATTATGGATAGTTGTATTCGTACAGGGTGATTGTTTATGGTTTACTCAATAGCTATCTCAGTTAATATTGGTTAGTATTGGATACGTTCTGATCAGCAAAAGTGAAGTATTTTTATGGGGATTCTGATTCTAGCATTAGAAAATGAAAAAAAAAAAACATAAACTTATAAATTTTACATAAACTAGTATTTATCAAATCGGTAGAGCTCTTTCTTCTGATTTCAAATATTTATACTCGTTTGAGGATATCTTTGTCAGTTTTTGAAAAATGTAGATTCTAAGGCAGCTGTAGAGCGCCAGAAATCTATATCAAAAAATCTCTATTTTTCAAAAACTAACGAGAACTAACCTCAATAAAGTATATATATTTGAAATCAGAAAGAAGAAATACAGGATGTTCTATCAAAAAAAATACCAGTTTAGGTAGCATTTTTAGGTTTACGATGCTTTTTTGCATTATCTAGTACTAGATTCTGAATGATCATAAAAAATACTTCACTTTTACCTATTCGAACGTTTCTGTTAGACCAATATTAAGTATCTCAGTTTTTGAGTAAAATATAAACAATCACCCTGTACATACCCATGACTCACCAATTGAATGTAATCATTGAATATATTCCATTTTAGTTTCTCCTACTGGAGTGAATAGGAGAACGGCAGTACTATTCACGAAAAAAGCTCAAGCAGCTTTGAAAAAGGAAGACAAAGACAAAGAAGACAAAGATGACTCGTCTGAAACAACGATAAAATCGTGAGTATATGAAATATCACCTTGATAGAATCTACTTCCTTGTCGTCCTGACAGATTTGACTTCACATTTTCATTTTAATATATTATTGGTGGAAATGGAAACGATTCGTTATATTATCGACTTTCAATGGACAATTCATTAACGACTCAAGTCCTTACTCAAGAAAATCCTGTGATTTATATATAAACGTCACACATTGAAGCAACGTTCGTCCAATACACAAGTACAATACACTCACTCAATTAATATAATATCAATACCTGCTTAATTGCTGTCACGTCACATTCGTAGGCGTTGAAAAGCGTGCAGTATATTTAGTAAAATCGCGTCCGTACCCTGTTATAAGCGATTACTGGATTCAATTTCGGAAAAGGACATTATACTAGAGCAGCCTTTTTTGACGTTTCGAAAGCATTCGACAGAGTCTGGCACGACGGACTACTGTCCAAAATGGTAGACTACGGGTACCCGATATCTATGGTAAAGCTAATAGCCTCCTTTCTGCGGGGAAGGCGATGCCAATGTAAAGTTGGCAACGAAATCTCTGCAGAGAGGGAGCTAGATGCAGGAGTACCGCAAGGTGCGGTCCTTTCACCACTACTTTTCTCCATTTTTACCGCAGATATCCCAAAACCCGCGAACAACTTCAACAAACTCGCATTATACTCCGACGACACAGCCATAATTGCCAGATCCAGTAACGCAGACATGACAGTACGATACCTACAAGAACAAATCGACACACTAGAAACCTGGTTCAATAACTGGAAGATAGAAATTAACGCAGAGAAAAGCCTAGCTGTTCTCTTCACTAGACGACGTACCAAACCTACAGGACACGTAATACTAAACGACATACAGATACCATGGGCAGATGAGGCAAAATATCTAGGGGTAACCCTAGATAACAAACTTACTTTCAGACAACACATCACTACACGACTAAACTTGGGTAAAGCCGCAAGGCGAAACCTACAGCCTCTTACAGGTCGCAGAAGCAACATGGCTCTAGAGTTGAAGGTGCGCCTAATAAGAACCATTGTACTTCCAATAATTTTCTATGCATCAAGTGCATGGGGCCAATGCGCAGAGACATGCAAAAAGCGAATACAGGCATTTCTAAATGTCTCAATAAGAATGGCAGTAAACGCCCCATGGTATATCCCAAATAGATTTATCTATAGGGACCTGAACATAAACCCAGACTACATAAGACAACACGCGGAGACTACATTCGGAAGAACGGAAACCCACGAGAACCCGCTACTGCACGACCTGACTAATAGACAATTAAATCAAGACCCGCGCTTCGGAAGAATAAAGTACAGGCGCCCAATTCACCAAATATAAGATAAAAGAACGAAATTAAATCAATATCAATAAAAGTTGCATAATAATCATCAGATAATCAAACAAAAGAGTTTCTCCTTAGATACCCTATAAAAAGTTAACCAATAATAATAAGACATAAACTCAATTTTGCTTCCCATTAGGGTAGGGAACCACCACGCAAACTCAGGCTAGGAAACACACATTAGACAAAGAGGTTTAAAAGTCGGAAGACTGAAACCAAGTAAGGGGTTTTATAAAACATATGCAGATTGCCAAATGCATAAGGTTGAAGTCCACTCGTTAGTGAGTGGGGGTGGATGGACATGGGGATGAGGAGCTATCATATAACGTAAGCTAGTTATATGGCGGCATCCTGGGCATTCAACCTTTCGGGGGGCGTGGTGGGTACCCTGTTGAGATGACGAATAGGTCTAGGTCAATTTACATCAAGGGCCCCAATTGCTTCCAGCAAGAAAAAAGGCAAGCCTCGCAGCTCAGTCGACCCCGACCCTAGCGCCGACCACGAGGACCCGAACCGCGTGCCAGACAGCTTCAAGGTGTACCGCGCAGGCGCACCGACCACCGACGACGAGCACAGCGACAGCGACAACAGCCTGTCGACGTGCTATTCGCATTCGCTCTCCGACATCGCTTCCGACGACGACAGCGACTGTTCGGACGACAGCGCTGCGCATTCGGCCTCAGAGGTAAAGTTTTCAGCAACCATTACAACCATAGTGGAAGGAGAAGATGGTGTGCTCAACAGAAAGCTCAAACTCGTCTTGTTCTGCGCATTACGTCAGCTGGGATATAACTGTCATTGTTATTATTTTGTTTTCGTGATTGATGTCTCGAACTTCAGATATTATATAAGTACTAAAATTGAATGAAATATTTTCGAGATGCCTACTAGTTTCGTTTCTGGTTATGGAAATTCCAACTAACATACAAAAGGCACAGTTATTGAATTTTTCTGCTTTTCCAAGAATGGAGACCTAATGAAACGATGGAGTTTGCTGCCGATAGAATATAAACTCAAATAGTGGTACGTACCTTATATTCCTTATATCCTCATTCCAATGTATTCACTTATCATATTATCATCACATTCATATTACATCACATTCATATTACAGCACGTATTTCTTCAAAACATTTCCATGCAAAATGTTCCCAAACAAGTGCGAAAGAACGGTTCTTGAATTACACCTCCAAAAATTCACAAATATTTGAAACAAGATGGCATTCCTACAGAACATCTTCGGAATATCAAGTCAGGAATGATTGAAAATGAATGCAAAACTTAATTTCTCACAAAATATAAATTGCAGCAAAGATTTGAATAACAAAACGGCAAAAATCGATTCTCCTGTTGTCGATGTCGGAGCAGAAGCAACGTCAACGTCGTTAACTGCTGAATTTGAATCTGTCAGAATCGACACAGTAGTGAATCATTCAGATGGGATTGGCAATGCATGATAATTCGTATGTATTTGCTATTTGCCATTGCGAATTACCTCAAGATCACAATTTCCAGAATCAATGAAATAGTAAAATGGAAGGAATAGGAACATGTTTTTATAAATTGAATTATTTCCAAACAGATCGAGAAACTTCAATAAACATGATTGAATTCATTGTGCACGCCCGTGGCAACGGTATCTGTCTGTGACTAGCAGCTGATATTTGTATCCCAGATGACGTCACATAATATGCGCGTAGGCACACCATCTTCTCCTTCCACTATGGTTGAGTCGAAATATTTGAAATGAATAGTATGTCTGCTCCCAAGCATCTGTCACTTTCAGTGAATTTTTTGATTTTGGAATGAAAAATCAGCAGATTCAGTACTGTCAGTTGAATTCGGAATATAGCCTTAGAAGACAGTATTGGCAACCATAGGGAAGCGTTGACCAATGAGGGACTTCGCTCCAAGTTGCCAACCTGAAAATCTCTACCTCTCTCTGTTGAAGCAATATTATGGAAGTTTGATCACTCAAATAGCTTTATTTTGGTGCAATTTGATTGTAGGCGTCTACTCAGCTTTCTAATGCAAGTTATTCAGAAGAAAAATCAGTTTTTGTGAACTTCACATCTTTGGTGCGGCACGTCAACACTGAAATGTCAATACTTTCAATAGTGTCAGTAGTGTCACGAGTAAAAAATGGTATATCCTTGAATCACCAAATCAGTTCGAATCGCGTTCGAACTTTCGAGAACAAATGATTTTTGTACCTCATGTATTAATATTATTATTATTTATTCAAGGTCGTTACCGAGAAAGAGTTGAAGCCGATGCAGCTAGTTTGGGCGAAGTGCAGAGGTTATCCTTGGTATCCGGCGTTGATAATCGATCCCCAAATACCTAAAGGTAAGAATCACAATCAATCAATCAATCAATCAATCAATCAGTCAACTTTATTTTTCCCAAGAAACAACATTTGTTTATAGCAGGGAACATAGTGAATACATAAATATATTTGACAAAATAAAATAAAGAAGACAGTAAAATAAGACTCACACTCAAAAAGAATCTTTTTTTTTCAAGTTCGAATGAAAATGATCCTTAATTGACTCAGCTGTTAGGTACACAATTGAAAACTATAGTAGTTGTACAAGAAAACTATAAAAATGAGATAAGATGTCAATATTACAGGAGTAGATGTTTCTTGAATTCTCTTTTAAATTTTTCAATCCTATTAATCAGCTTCAAGTTATTCGGGATGAGTTATAGGTTTGGTGCTAGTTCGACAGAAGATAACCGACCATGGTAGTTGAAACACTATATACTTTCCTTTCTGGATCGTTTGATCGTTTTCTCGGAGTTTTCTCACTGACATTTGGACTGAGAACACTCAGTCATGCTGAGTCGATTAGAAACTTTTTTAAAGAATTTGTGTCTTGATAATGACGTGGAAGACCACTGAGGAATGAAATCCGTCTAAACCTCGTTCAATCGATGAATCATGATTTATAATAAATTCATTATCACTATTATAAGTTGAAGTTGAAGGGTATCTTTAGCGTTTTGAAATCAGTATATTCCATTCGATATTTTAAAACGCCAGCTATGAAGATGGAGCCGTGACGTATTAATCCCGAAGTGTAGCCTTCTCTCTCCCTCTCTCTCTGATACCTTGCCAATCTGCAGTGTTGCAATGTGATTGGTCAGCTCAAGGACAAAAGGCGTGTTGGGACTAATACGTCACACTAGGCACACTAATGAATTGACACCATATCAAGTACATCATCATATTTGTTTATCGTCATAGTATAATATGAAGATTTCAAAATTACATTTACTGGTAGTTTATTGGTATAGAGTTCACGATGAAGTCGTTTTGAAAAATCTGTGCCCTGATCTTTGAGAATATGTATTTTTCAGGTTATATTTACAAGAACGTTCCAATGCCGTTTCCGCCTCAGGAAGTATTAGATCTTGCTCAGAATCATTCGGAACCTGTGTTTTTGGTTCTGTTTTTCGACGCAAAAAGAACATGGCAATGGTTGCCAGCTGAAAAATTGGAATTGCTCGGCTTGGATCCAGAAAAGGACGAGGCAAAGGTAAATTATTCCGTGTGCACAGCATTCTTGGTCGAAGCGGCTCCGAACACAAACCCCTTTATCTTTCTCTCTGTTTTTCTCTATTTGATAGAAAGAAACAGAGAATATGAGACATCGGCTTTGTTTTGTTCACAACTGTCTTGATCATACATGAAAAAGGACTTTTGGCAACGGTTGGAGAAACATAGGTTAATGTGTGTGAAGTCCATAATTTTCTATTCCATAATTTTCTAATTACCTGATCTGGATTGAAATCCAATATTTAATGTGAAGTTTATTAAGTGTGTGTGTGAAAAATATCAGGCTCTTTTATCTCTACGCCGGTATAGAGGCCGGATGATGACGGATTCATCGGATAAGGGGCCATACTTGAAGTCAAACGTGCTCCATTATTTCTACGCCGGTAACCAGGCCGGATCAGCAACGGATTTGCTGGATAAGAGGAGTACTACGATCGAATTTTATGAACACTGATGACTCGGCTTCAGACCATTGTGATAGACAACCGGTGTCTTGTGTGGCGAGTCGAGTGATAATATTATTACATAACCAAGCATTTATTCTTGGAAAAATTAATTACCTGATCTGGAGAAATTGTTACGGAAAGGAGACAGAAATCCAATAAACCCAAATAGAAGAAGAAGCAGAAGAAGAAGAAGAAGAAGAAGAAGAAGAAGAAGAAGAAAGATCATACATATTTTTTGATATTCCTCTTAGTATTCCACTCTTGTTCTTGAGATCCAATCAGAATCTATCATTTTTATGGTGTCCTACCTACTATAGTGCGGTAGTTGAGCTAGATTATTCCAATTTGATGAAGGCACGAAATTTGGCACATTGGTAGGCCAATATAATATGAACAAATTGGTGGCCATTTTCCAAAATGGCCGCCATTAGACTCCTGAAAGTCATCAGAAGTTGGATAAAGTTTGCTGCTGAAGGAATTTATATACATAGTGTGGAGAAGCTCTATAGCTCCACTGCATTAAGGGATAGAGAATATCTTTCAGGGGATATAGTTAGGTCTATAAAGCAAAATTATTTTGATCTCTACAGGATGCTCTTCAAACGTGGAGCTACAAAGTTGATGATTTTTAAAATAAAACATCTTGTATTTTTTCACATATTTTGATTTATCATCATCTTGCCTACATAACATTGTCTTATTTTTGCAATTCGTTTGCGGCGTTGCTAAGTTAATTAAAATTATTTCGAAAAATTATAATAACGCAGATGTTGATTCCAATATGCCTGATGCTGATCTTCGTTTTCAATATTTCTATCCAAAATTATGCACCAACTTCTATGATAATTCGACTATCGCTTCAATGAAGTCAAGATATCTTACAGGGTGATTTATAGTGAACTGTCAGAGGTGACATATTCGAACGGTCATTACTTTGTTATTTCAAAGTATATTTCACTAAAAATGGATTCCTATTTTCGTTGTCTTTCATCTGATACCATATTTACTATACAGGGTGTAAATTTGAAAACTTTCAATGCGAATATCTCGCGAAAGAAAAAAGTTAGAAAAACACCGTTTGGCAAAAATGCTGAAGAGTTAAGGGGAACTAGAACCACCATATTTCGGTCAAGGAATGAGTCACCTCGTCGGCGCGACACACCCCAACTTTGAAATGTCAAATCGCACTACCTTTTTTGTGATGCCTCAAACAAACAGTCTCAGTCAGTAGTATTCACCTGTACAAGACTTTTTTTTCCACCCACTACAGGGTGTACGAAAAATATAAAGTCGAATAAAATAAAATGAATTGTGTTAAAAGGATATTTTATTCGATCAGATGTTCAAAATGCATTCCATTCTGTTATAAGCAATAGTATAACCGATGTTCAAATGCCATTGTAACATTTTGGAACAGATCTCTTGGAATATATCGGCATTCTGCATTTTACTTTATTCGACTTTATGTTTTCCGTTCACCCTGTAGTGGGTGGAAAATAATTCTTGTACAGGTGAATACTACTGACTGAGACCGTTCATTTGAGGTATCACAAAAGAGGTAGTGCCATTTGACATTTCAAAGATGGAGTGTGTCGCGCCGACGGGGTGACTCATCCCTTTACTGAAGTATGGTGGTTCTAGTTTCCCCTAACTCTGCGGCATTTGTGCCAAACGGCGTTTTCCTTAATGTTTTATTTAGCGAGATATTCGCATGGAAAGTTTTCAAATTTAGACCCTCGATTTGATGTTTTTCGTACACCCTGTAGTGGGTGGAAAAAGAGTCTTGTGAAGGTGAATACTACTGACTGAGACCGTTCATTTGAGGAATCACAAAAGAGGTAGTGCCATTTGACATTTCAAAGTTGGGGTGTGTTGCGCTGACAGGGTGACTCATCCCTTCACTGAAATATGGTGGTTCTAGTTCTTCCTAACATTTAAGCATTTGTGCCAAACGGCGTTTTTCTAACTTTTTTATTTCGCGAGATATTCGCATTGAAAGTTTTCAAATTTACACCCTGTATGAGTGGTCTGTATTTCTGGAGATATAAGCATGTTTCTCATATTATCTCTCAATTATGACTTCATTGAAAAGCGATAGCCAAAGTATCATAGAAGTTCATGAATAATTCATTATGAAAAATTTGAAAATGAAGATCAACAGGCTTGTTAAAATCAACATCTGCATATTATAATTTTTCCTAATTAACTTAGCAACGCCGCAGACGAATTGCAAAAATAAGACATAGTTGTGTAGGCAAAATACCGATGAATCAAGATACATTTAGAAAAATCATAGATCTTGTAGCTCCGCGTTCAAAGAACATCCTGTAGAGATCAAAACAATTTGGCTTCATAGACCTAACGATATTGTACTATATCCCCAAAAATATATTCTCTATCTCTGATTGCAATGGAGCTATAGAGCTTTTCCACACCTCAGCAGCAAACTTCATCTAATTTATGCTGACTTTAGGGTGTCCACTGGCGGCTATTTTGGAAAATGGCCACCATGGCCGCCAGGGGGCAGTTGTTGTCTTCATCAAAAACTGCTCAATAGTTGAGCTGATCGGCTGTAATGGAAATATTGTAGCTACTTGACCGATGCATTAACTTCGGGTGACGTCATTGCGTTGTCTTTTAGGTGTTAACATTGCAGTATAAGGATTGAGCCATCCTCATACAAATTAAGTTGAACATCTTTGAGCTAATCTTTAATACATTATTTACTATGGATTTCCATCAAATAATTGCCGAGTCAATTAAAAATAATAATTATTGTTTCTTTTTTCAAGGCGAATGAACCTAGGAAGCCTACCGACAAAAAAGCTGTCAAGAAAGCTTATGAAAATGCACTTGATTTCCAAGCACAGATACTTGAAACTGAAAGAACCGAAGAAAAAACTTAGGAGTGCTGATATGAATAATTCTTAGTTTTAGAAAGTATTTTTTTATCATTGACCAGTTAGTACCCAGTGACCATATTCTCCATTAAGGTGAGTTCTATCAATATTGATAAGATGATTTTAGTATTACTTATGGAACGTATTATTTACTATGCTAATAATTGTTATAATGATCGTGTAACATTGATGAGATTCAAAGTTGATAACATAATAAAACTTTCCGGATTTTGAACAACTATTGTTATCTTCGTCAGTAAAAACCTTGACTGTTGAAAATGTTACTCTTCTCTACTAAGTCAGTGCTGCAAACTTCTGTGGTTCGTGAAATCCAAACACTCTGTCCAACAATAAAGAATCCATTGAAGTCCGGAGTATTATCTTTCAATTCAACCTTTCTTAATCGTTCAATTATTTACCTTGGATTCAGATAATATAGTTGTGTTCAACTAACCAACTTGCGCCCTATATTTTTGTTATCATTCCCGCTAGACCTCAAGTGTAATAGATCGATGAAATCAGCTCTTTAGGAAGAATCTGAAAATGGAATAATATATAGGGTGTCCCATTCAAAAAATCAAAGATGTTGCTACACACAACTAATTATCTAAGAAACCAAATTTTGCGTTCTCCAGAAACGTCAAATGTGCTATCCACCGTGAATCAGCTTGTATAAAAAATGACTACTACATAATAAGCTGAAGGTTAATGAGTCAAAGTGTGTATTTCTGATTTTTAAACTGGAGAATACCAACGCGAATGAAATAACTGTATTATTAGATGAAACAACTTTAAACCGAGTGAAATACACAAAGTATTTAGGTCTCACAATTGACGAGTCCCTAGATTGGAATGAGTATGTACAGGGTGATTCACCATAAATGTCCCCCCCTCTAGCTCACTTATTTTTGAACCGATTTAAAAATGTGAAAAATCATCTAAAATGATTTTTCAGAAAATTTTTTCCCGTTGCATCAGAAAATACAGGGTGTTCGGACCAAACGATCTACAGAGTACTACTTGATTTTTTCAAATGGAACACCCTGTATCTCATGGTATTTTTATATTCTTCCTGAAGAGCTGATTTCATCAATGCATCACACTTGATGGGGTCTAGCGGGAATGATTACAGAGATATGGGGTGATAAAAATCGAGATTTTTCAACTTTAGGTTTTTTTTTTGTCGAAACTATTCATTATTGATCAAAACGGCTTCAATGACCCTATCTCAACTTTTGATTCACTACCTACTGACATTCAATTGGAACATATACAGTGTGATTCAAGATTCAGAATTCTGACCACCCTGTATCTGTTCCAATCAATAAATGTCAGTAAATAGTAAATCAAAAGAGAGATACGGACATGAAAGCCGTTTTAACCAATAATGAATAGTTTCAATACAAAAAAATCCTGAAGTAGAAAAATCTCGATTTTGAACCCCTATATCTCTGTAATTATTCCCGCTAGACCCCAAGTGTGATGTATTGGTGAAATCAGCTCTTCAGGGGAAATATGAAAATACGATGAAATACAGGGTGTTCCGTTTGAAAAAATCAAGTAGTACTCTGTAGATCGTTTGGTCCGAGCACCCTGTATTTTCTGATGCAACGGAAAATTTTTTTCTGAAAAATCATTTTAGATGATTCTTCAAATTTTCAAATCGGTTCAATAATGAGTGAGCTAAAGGGGGGGACATTTATGGTGAATCACCCTGTACAAAAGATGTGTCAAAAAAAATCTCGTATGATAGGTGCCATCTATAGGTGTAGAAGCTACGTAGATGATAAAGCAAAATATTGTATATATAATGCATACTTCTCAAGCAGCTATAGATATATCATCACAATATGGGAACCATGTGGAACAACAACATTTAACAAAATTCAAATGCTACAAAACAGGATGGTTAAAGTTTTATTCAATTTGGACATGCGATAGTCTGGTCTATAGACATTATAAATAGGTATAAACACAAAGCTAGATAATCTAAAACTCATTCTCTCAATTTTGAACAATGTAAATTTATATACAAAAATTGCTATTTTCTACACCTACACTTAATTAGGTCCAAAATTCCAAAATCATCAGGTTTTTTCTTATTTGTTGTTGTCCTGTGTTAGTCCGTAGCATATTTCGGTAGAATTTTTCCAGTCTACTGTTTCTTATGAGTCTTCTTTTCTGAAAATATACATTAGGATAAGCTATATGAACAATAAAATTCAAGGTTCACGCCACAATTTATAGGCTCCTCGCATCAAAACATGCAAGAATTCCTGAGTTATCTGCTCGAAGGTCATAGAGAAGCCGAACCTGAAGCCAATACTCATTGAAATCGAGATTCCTGATAATTTTGTCATCACCGTAATTAGGCCAACTCAGGTTGTTGAGACTTAGACGTTGAAGAAAAAGCGTATGAAGTCATTAATCATCACCAAGTTTTCTAAAGTGTTGGTTGTTCATCTGAAGAGATAGAAACGAACTTACTTTACTTTGAATGGCTGGACATGAGCCAATACGAAGCTGACGACTTTGTGAATATTGTTTATTGTTTATTGAGGAATTAGCTTCCAGTCAGGAATAAAATTCTGGTATGAGGTGGAGAGGAAGTTGATTACAAACAACAATAATGAAATAACATTTTTTTTTTATGTTCTGGTTCCCACGAAAAGGGATATCCTGTAATGTTCAGAGAACATCGTGAGAACCAAGGGAAATAAAGTAGGAATTGGTGTTCCTCTTGAATTTCTGGAGGTTATATGCCTCGGGGAACACATCTCCCTTGGCAATGTATTCCAGAGCCTCGCTGTTCGTTGGATGAACGAGTCTTTGGAAAGAGATGTTCTGCAGGTCTCCAAAGTGACCACGAAGGGGTGCGAAGCCTCAACTCGACGGGTTAATCTCGCGGGGACTGCCAAGGAAGGAACAATTGTTGATATTTCAGAATAGCATCGTCCATGAAAATATATATAAAATAGAGCCAGATCGCCAACTTGTCTACGGTGTTCCAGAGAAGTGAGTGAGTTTGTGAGTGAGGCATCCCCCACGAGACGAGTTGCCTTTTTTTGGACAGAATCCAACAGTTTCAGGGTATGTTTAGGTGCTGCACTCCAAATATGGAAACAGTATTCCAGGAGAGTTCGGATCTGTGTCTTGTAGATCGTAAGCAGCTGACTCGAAGTGAAATAGCTCCTGGCCCGAAACAGAAAACCAAGTTTTTGGGATGCACTTCTAGCAATTGATCTCACGTGATTTTCCAAAGAAAGGTTATTGCTGATAGTAATACCAAGCATCGAAACGGATGTTTTCAGAGGTATGGTTACTCCTGACAAGCTTATGTTGGGCACAGTGAGACCGGCTTTTCTAGAGAAAAGGTATGCTTGTGTTTTGTTTGCATCGAAATCTACCAAGTTATTGGATCCCCATTCGAGAATTGTTGCTAAATCCATATTTATGTTGTCAACATTTCTCCCTCGTTCGTTTCTGATTTGCCTGGCTGGTATTGGAGCCCTGGAAGAGAAGGCGGTATGGAGGGTACTATCATCCGCGAAGCTGTGTACTGGACATGAAGTTGCTTCCAACGAATCGTTGATATGGAGTTGAAATAGTGTTGGTGCTAGAATTGATCCTTGCGGAACACCAGCATTTATGATAAGAGAGTCAGATAACACTTCTTAGAAATTAATTTGTTCTTGTACCTTCTGCCACTTCAGCAAAGTCTTTTGCTGGAAACCCATCAGGCCCAAAATCATCCAGTCCTACAAAATCCACGCTATCTCCCACTCTCGATGGCGATCCCGGAGCCCTAGTTACTTCTATAGGGGTGTCTTCACCTTCCACATAAGGTTGATCATCCTCTGCCTCATCAAGTTCATTGTCAGCTCCTTAAAATCAATCAGAAATCGTTACCTTATATTTGAGTCAGAAACCTTGCATATTAATTTTATTTGATTATTTATTAATTTATCAAACATATCTTCTAGTCAGAACAAGTTCTGGTATGAGGAAGAACATAATTATAAAATATTAAGTAATAAATATCTATGAACTAGTACACAACATCAGTAGAAGTGAACATTAATAATAAATCATAATGAATCAGGATATTACAATAAATCACAATGAAACAAAACAATCAATGAATAAAGAAACGAATTCTAGTCGAGGACATAACTTACTGATAAATTTTAAACATTTCTCTCAGAAATGATCAGTTTTTTCACTTTCTTTTTAAATGTACCTATATTTCAGCAGTTTTTAATTTCATCTGGTGATTTATTGAACTCAGATAAGGCTGCATGAGTGAATCTTTTTTGCCCGAGTGTAGAACTAGCAGCATCAAGATGAAATAAGTTATTTTGTCTAGTTTGATGACTATGAATTTCAAAATTTCTTGTCAAAATAATATTAGATTTCCATTTTTAATTTATGATATTGTATGAAATTTTCAGAGTCTCTAATCTGTACAGTTCTTCTAAAGAATATGTTTTTGTTAAAGCACACAGTTCAGTTGTTGGTGTATCATATGGAAGACAATACAGTACTTTTAATGATTGATATTGAGTTTGGAACACCTTCTCAATGCACCAATAATAGGAGATATTTTCTTTGCCAGAACCTCAATATGTTTGTGCCACTTCAATTCTTCATGAAACCAAATACTTGAATACTTTATCTGTTCAGTATTTATTTCTTTATTTGAAGATTGATCTGAAAAATCATGTATTGAGTTTTTCTGGTATTTATTGATGAAAGGTTATAGTTGAGCCATTTTTCAAATAATTTCAGATCATTATTTATCACAGTTTCTAAAATTAAAAGATTTTTGTCTTCATATAAAAGCACTGTATCGTCTGCATATATGGTATAATTACTCGCTAAACCAACTTTTGTGATATTTTGAATATAAAGCAGATACAGTATTGGTCCTAAAACAGATCCTTGTGGAACACCCATATTCATTGACAGTCTATGAGACTCAGAATTAGCAGATTTGGTACTGATTG